GGCGACCGGGGCCGCGACCGTTACGGGTCGATCCCGCTGCCTGCCTTCGTTTGGGTTTGGTTTCTTTCTTTCTTTCTTTTTTTTCTTTTCACGTCGGGCCGCGTAGCTGGGCCCCCAGGACCAAGCTGCGAGAAGCTGGAGCCGCTGGGCGAGCGCGCTCGCTCGCTCCCTGTTCGTGACCTGCAAGGGAGCTGAATGTAGTCTGCAGAGTGCCTCTCCTAGGTAGCGGCCGTCAGGCTTGGACCCTCGTACCCGGTCTTCGGTGCCTCAGTGTCGTTTAAATGCTTTGGCCTTGGGATCTGAGCCTGCTAGGCGCGGAGTGCTCCCGCTCTCCTTCTGGTTGGCCCCCGAGAGTGGACTTGTTCCTCCTTGCATCTGTGAAGCGTGGATAATAACTGTCTCCTTGCCTCCCAGGGCTTTTCTGAGGAGCCATTAGTTAATGTTTGTCAAGATCTCTGAAGATGCAAAGTGCTGTCAGTATTATATCCCTCTTAGTTCCACACTGGGCCTTTGTTTCCGGAGTTTTAAAAAAAAAAGAAGAAATAATACATCTTAACTATTTTCCTTAATTCTCTTGGTGCACTTGCCTGCATAAGAGAGCCTGTAGGAAAGCTATTGTCTTTATCTGGATTGGGGTCGACTACCTTTTCCTTCCAAAGGAGGCAGACATACATTTTTATATACTCTTCCTTTTGCAGCAATGTATTTAAAAATGAATATTGATATTCATAGACCAAGAACTGATTGCACAATAGGGGAGCCCTTGACTAGCAAAACTGCCCTATTTATAAAGCTTGTTTCCTATTGATTTTCTTTAACCAGAGTGAACCTTTCTGCTGGTTGTTAAATTTGGTCAATGAAAAGTGTATAGAAAGCCCAAATTCCCATAGTTCATAGTCTTTGTTGTGGACGCATCTGGTTAAACGGTTTTGATTCTTGGGTGTTTATTTGTAATCATCATCATTTGATTTGACCAGTAAAATAACTGACTAATGGGTGACAGAAGAAAATCTCCCAGGTTTTAGAGATATTGCTATGTACTAAGACTTTGACACAATAGTTAAAAGTGGAGAAAAAAACTGTTTCATGCACTTTACTTTGACTTTTTAATTTTTTTTATTAAAAAGACCTTTTTATTTTACAAAGTCTGCCTTTTATGTACATTCTATATGTTCATAAGCTTTTCTGTAACATACTAAAGAAACTGATATTTCAGTAAACTGTGTTAATGTTTTACCTCCTTTGTCCTGAATATTTGCCTGAGCTTTGAAAAGGAAATGCACGCATCTTCAGTCTTCCCTGTTGAGTGATAGAGACTGTTTCTTTCCAGTTTTCTCCGCTGAACTGGATGAGGTTTTTCACGCTTCATCCTAAGCAAGAAGGAGCAGAATTAAGCCTTCAAACTCTGCTTTTCCTTCTGTCTCTTTTTTAACAATTGTGGGACTGAAATGGCAAAAGCTCTTCAAGTGGCTAAAGTAACACGACTGTAGTCTGCTTTAGCTAAATAGACTTTAGTCTATCTTTAAACATTAAAATGAGCCACTTCTGACTAGCAGTGAGATAGGTGGTGTGGGCTTAGGTGCACTCAGCCTCTTCAGGTGTTCAGGTAGTGTACCAACCTGTTAATGCAAGTTTCTTCAAGTGTTATTGTAAGAACATCCCCAAAGGTGTCAGTTGTTTTCAATGTGTATTATTTTATGCTGTTTCTCAGTCCTCTGTGTCCATTTTGTCTGTATCTGCAGTGGGGGGTTCAGGCAGAATTGAAGAACAGGAATGCTTTTCAGTCTTACTGACGTACTTTATTTTAACAGGATTTTTAACGAGTTTTTTTCTAGGTGTGGCAGGATATAGAAAATGAAGTATTTGTATCTCGTTTGCTTTTTGAACATGTATTCATAGAAGAGGCAATCATATGGCTCAAAATACAGCCAGATAAGGCACAGACAAAGGAAAAAACAATCCTCTTTAAGCCCCAGATGCAAGTGCATATCCTGCTGTATCAAACAGCAGCATAATCTCTTTTACATCTGGGCAGGCACTTCTCTTGATGAAGGCAATGGTGTGCTCTGTGGTTACTACGCAAGTAGGTGCTTTTTTCAGTATGTCAAGCACTAACCTTCCCCCAGACTCTGAGCGCTGTGCACTCATATGTACCGGCAGGAGATCTTTGGTCTGTTATTCATTTAGTTAGATTAAACTTTGCGTGAGGATAATTTTCTCCAGCAGTTGGGGAGGGTTCTTTTTTCTCTCTCTTTTTTTTTTTTTCCAATAGGACAAGATGATAGTTCTACAAAAGAAAACCTCATGGTCAGTTGGTTACCTATATTAGCTATTCCAAGTGTGTTTCTGTATTTATTTTAAAATGTTACATCAGCCTCCAAGACTAGCTTCCATTCAATTGCTTAACTGACAAGGCTCTTTATTGAACTTGTATTTATAGTTCACAGCATTTATCTCTCCGAACAATGCACAGAATCCCATGTGACATTCCTCTGCTATTTACATGATAATACACAATTTAACTGTGTAATTCATAATTCTTCAGTGCTGTTTGTCAGCATTACTTTCTAACTCAGATGCAGAAGCTCTGTCGCATTCACCTAATGAAAATACATTTAAAGAATAAACTGCTGGCATAAATTTTAAACCACCATGAAGAGCAAACTGCTGTGCCACAAACATCTAAGGTTGCATTTTGGTTTAAGTATTTTGGTAGGTATCAGCACAACTGTGGTTTTGATGGATAATAGGCAATAAATCCCGTTTGCGATGTCTTTAGAGCCAGACCCTAGGTAATTACAAGTTTCAAAAAGAGACATGATTTTCTATTTGATGATTGGTAACTACCTCAAGTTATATATAGGTTATGTGTTCAAAAATGGCTCAAAAACGTATAGTTATAGGTTAATGAAACTAGAGCTACTGTGTTAGAGAAGCTGTGTGCTACTGGAAGAAGTAGGCTTATTCAAAGAGGATGTAGAAAACTAGCTTGATTGAATTATGATACTTTTCTGTGGAACTTGCTGCATTTTATTCTGCTACAGGTCATCTGCTTCTGTGCTAGAGAAAGCTTTGAATTACCATCACATTAAGGAAGACTAACTTTCTCTCCTCTGTATGATTTCTTTAAGGCAAACAGTGTCTTGTAAATTCTTGGTCTGGTACATTCTTTGCATTCTTTAGCTTTATGTGCTGTCTGATGTTTGACTATCTTTCAGCAGAACAATGGGGTGAAATTCTATAAAACTTTTTTTTTTTTGTGTTAATGTCATTTGTACCAGTCTAACTCTGCTTTCTTGCAGTGAAGTTTCTTTTGACTTAGAGTAGTAGGAAAGGCAGATCAGACCGTTGCTTATTTGAGGGCTAGAAGACTTTAAGACCTGGAAGGTTTAAGTAGAAATTAATCTGTGATAGGAGGAGTTACCAGTTCTGTTTGTGCATTGCTGGCAGCTGAGCAGGGTACACCTGAAGTTAAAAGAAGCGAGCTGTGTAACTTATATAAGAGATTCAGGCTGTAGGGTTTTAGGCCTCACTTCAGCAGAATGCTTAAGGTTGCCCTTAACTTTCCACTGCTGCTCACTCACAGGCTTTCAGTTAAGTATGGGCTTATGTGTTTACTGCACTAGGGCGTTAATCGGACATGGGTTGCTGCACAGAACAGAGAAGAAGCATCAAAAGGCTGAGTGGGGGTTGGCAGCACGCTGGCTGTCCCAGATCCAGGGCAGAGTTTTGTGTTTTTCAGCTCTGTGGAGATTCATGTGCTTAACTGATAACACTAGCTTTAGAAAAGAAAATTTCTAGAGGATTTTGTAGTGCGAATGCACTTCATTAAGTCCTAGATTTCAGCATGTTTCCTTCTGCAGATTTTTCCTTTTATTGGAATCTAAGGGAGTGGGTGGGTGAGGGGGGTTGTTACTACTCACAGCTTGATGTCACTGAGACATTACGTCCAACTCATACTAGCGTGAAGGGAGGACTGAGTTCAAGGATTCTGAGACCTGCATAAAGGGTGTCAAAATTGTGTTTGCGTGGAGAGTGAGTTACTGCTGAATCTTTGGGGTGCAAGGAACAGCAGAAGCTCAGTGAATTCAGTAGATTTCCCACTTACTGAACAAAGCAAGACTGGCATTTGCAGAACAAAGATCCCCTTTTGTTTGTCTGTGTATGAAGTAATTTCAAAGCTGGATTTATTTGCATTGTGGCTTTCCCGTTGAGGATTTCCCTCTCCATTGGGAAGTTCTTTCCAGGGGCAGAATTCCCTTGCCTTGCACACAAAAGCTGCTGCCCAGGCAGAGAGCGCAGTTCATCGCTGATGCCCCACTTCACTGGCTGCCTGAGGTCAGGTCAATCTGTTTAAAGATTCTGGAAATTACTTGGGCCTGTGGAAGAACGTTAAAAATAAAGTTAGTTACACTTTGAATTACTTGGCTTACAGCATGTCTTTAATATCACCAGCATAGTTTTTGTGGTTTGACTTTTCCTTTGAAGTTTGGTGCATTTTTCTTAATGTTAATAATACTCAGAATTTTCTCACCGACATACTAGGTGGCCCAGGAGTAGCTTGGATGTGAGATCATATTAAGACTTAATCCCATTTTGCATGTTATTCCTACTTTGCACCCACAGCATAAAATTTAATCACTCCTTCAGAGCGGCGCTCCCTGGATTGAATGCTGTGAAGCTCTCACACCAGCAGGCCAGGCTGTGCAGTAACAGCACCTGCCGGGGCCCGCATGGCTCCTGCGACTGTCCATGGCCTGGAAAACCTTTCACCGTACCGTCGTGGGTGCTAACGCGGCTCACCACTGAAATCAACTGGCACAGCTGTGAGCGGAGGTTATTTCAAAGGACAGTGACTTGCATCCGCAAATAGTATTTCACTGTGAATTAACTGGCATTTTAACAAACTTTATCAGTCTCACCTTCAGTGATGGTTTAACCTAGCTCACTGTACTTTGCATGGAAGCCAGGCATGAGGAGGAGCCAGCTATTGTGTTACACCTGTAGTTTCTCAACCCTTTATGTGGGCTGTGGCTTTCCATCGCCTGACCCAGGCAGAGGTGCAGCCTGAGCTCACCAGAAGAAAGCAGGACAGCAGCATCCCCAGATAACTGCTTCTGTGTTTTCTCATTAGTATTTCCCAGTACTTCAGCACTGTTTACTTGTGTGTCCTGTAGGATCTGCTTCAGTAAATATCTTCCTCTTCCCCTCACTTAAAGTCAGATATACAACCTCTGCTGCCCCTTTGCATCCTGAGGATTTCACACGCCTAGGTCAGACTCCTGGTGGAAGGTCCCTGCAGAGCTTCTGGACTTCATAGTCCCCTCAGGAGGAGCACATGTGCAGGCCTGCTTGAATCAGAGCCACAACTGTGCGCAGGTGTGAAAGGAGCTGTGCAAACAAAGGAAGGAGAATTAGCACAGCTAAAACCAGGCCAGCATTGTGAAAAGGAAAAGAGCGTTGGCTGGATTATCAGAGGATGAAAGACAATAAGCAACGAAGAGGGTCTGATGCGGCAATTGGACTGGATGATTCTGAATGATCCTGCTATTCACCACTTCTTTTTGTGGTTTTTGTCTGTGGCACTCTGACCATTTCTATAAGGAAGCAAACCCACGGGAAGACTGGTTGTGCAAGATGCAGACATCACTGACTCAGAGAAAAGAGAGCAGGCAGCCTGAAAACCCAGAAGCCTCCAGTTCCTATTCCAGGGAGGGAAATGCAGGTAGGAAGATTTCATGTCAGATACAAATACAGCACCAGCTGGGGAAGAGTAAGTTACAGTATACTGTATTGTAATTCTACAGGCAGATTTAAATTGCACAAGTATTGGTGCTGCTAGGATATTGGCATGCTTGTCTAACCTCTGCCTACCACTTGGACTTTTTAAGTCCTCTACATAGTGCAAAATGCTAACAATCTGGGCTTTTTTCCCCCTGATTATGTATACGTGCAACCGACCCTCAGCTTTGCTAGATTCTGCCATGCATCTATCAAGTCTGGTGTTTTTGTTTTCTTTCCTGCTTGGCTGACTCCTCTAGCCCAGCCAAAATGAAAGTACTGTGCATATTAACAAGGAAAACTAGTTGAAGGAATGTAGTAGTTAAAGTAACAGATACTTTAGAGAGGGAAGGGGGGGAAAAAAGCCCACTGTAATAACTTTTTGCTTACTCAGTTTTGTCCCTGCCCTCGGTGTCAAGGCAATGCAAGGTGTTCTGAAAGAAGTAGTCAATTGCGTGAAAGTTCATAAAAAGGAATAGACTTTTAAGGCACTGAAAAGCAAGTGACTCCCATCCAATATATGTCTGTGGCAACAGCCTTGAGAGATGTGTTTAAGGAACTTATCCATAGCCCAATGTGGACAAGGAATATGCAGGAATGGAGGGAAAATTGCTACAGAGAGGCAGTTAAATCCTTAAAGAAATTAGGAGGTGGAGGGGTTAATAGCAAACATCCTTGGAGGAAATCATACAGGTTCAGAACTTGCTAATCTCCCATAGCCCTCTTTCTCCACCTTCTATGACAGTTTTAGTGCAACAAGCTCTGGAATGGGTCTTTTTCTAGACAGTTTGTGCCAAAGAACAAAGAGAAAAATGGATGTACAGGGAAGCTCTCAGCTCTGGAGTACAAAGGACTGGCCCTTTTGCAACGTAGACCAAAGAAAACTTGTAATCTTGAAAGCCCAGCATTGTTTTCAAACACTATCATTAAATGTTTGTATGTTCAATGAATTTCATTTTGCATAATAATAGCTGTGTTCAATAACTTTTTACTGTGCGTATTTAATTCAACATATTCGGTATTATTTACCAAAAATCACAGAAAATGTCCTTACTTCCCTAATCTTGAGTTGTGAGCAGTTCATTAAAAAGCTCGCTTTCCGTGTCATAAAACTGGCATGTAACATTTAATGTCCAAATACATAATAGTCCAAGGTTTTCCAAACTACTTGGACTAGCTGATACTGTGAGCCTTGAGGCGCTCTCAAAGGTCATACCTGTAGCTACACAGCACTGAGCAATTCACAGGCGGTTTCCGCACAGTATGTTTTTGTAGATGGATTGCGGAGCAGGCTGGTGTCGCAGGGCCTGCTTGCTGGTGCTGGCTGCTCGTGTTGCTCTTGGGCATCCCCAAAAACACGTGCAAGAATTAAAATTACTGTTTGTCTGTATGGACTGAGCTGCCCATGATTTCCTCTCTTAGTTGGAACTTAGCTAAGGATTTTGTTCCCAAAGATGTCTTCCTTTACAAAACGGGAAAGACATCTGTTAAAGTGTCCCCACGTGCACACACACTACCCCTCCCTTCAACTCCGCCATCTCCCAAAAGCCCTTTCACTTCATCACTGAGATCTCACAAAATCCCTTGCAGTGAAGACAGATAGCCATTTACCTAAAGCAGTATTAACACACTAATGCAGCACATAATGAGGTAAGGACTGGATACATTTCATAGCAGTATCTCAAAAAAGAAGGGTGGTTTATTTCTGCCCATCTGTAAGTTTCAGTCAGAGGAGTCATAATTTTTTAATGTGCCTGTCTTGCTAGCTTCCTTTTTGTGCCCTGCTGGGGGGGAAAGTGCATTAATAAACTATGGTTTGAAGCTGCCATTGCGAATTCTTTTTTTCTGTGCACGATTTCTCAGAGAGGAGCTAGGATCTGTTCACTCTGGTTATTTGTTTAAGCGACTGCAGTTTGCTTGATTTCCTTTAGTTTAGCTAGGTCACCTTTGTAATCCCCAAAGTTTTCAGTGCCACTTAATATTTTCAAGCCCAGGAAAAGTAATTATTTCCTTTGTCCTGTTAAGAATATATGGGATTTGCTCATCTGGCAAAGTGTTCTATTTCCTTTTTTTAAACTCAGTACAGTGCAAAATCAGGTGACATACATTATGGATGAGCCTGGATGCAAGGATCTGGAGGATATTAATGGTATTATTTCATTTCACACCAGCTACACAGCAAGGCAACTGCTCAGTGGAGGTATTTCTGAATTTTACAGCCACCAGAGATCAAAACCAGGTCCTCTGTTTGTGATTTGTGGGATAAAAGTAACAGGCTAAGTTCTTTTCTGATTTACAGCCCCGCAGGGTTAAAGGCATGAGTTTGTCCGCAATTTGGATGCGAAAGCTGATGATGAGTATAACCATGATGAGTATTATTTATGATATGGTTTTATCCTGCTTGCTTTTAGAACTGACAAGGGTGACTGACAGCAGTGCTTCGTGCTCCTTTCTTTGACTAGCAGGCTAGCAGACTGCCAGGAGCCCAGTTAAATAGAGACTGCTCTAAGAATCAGGGCTACAGGACGTTTTATGAGCTCCTCTGTCAAGAAATATTTCAGACAGTGCCCAAAATGAGGCAATCATCTTCAGGCTCGTAAAAACAATTACCTGTGTAGGAATTTATCGAAAGTAGCTGCAAAGAGGAAAAAATGTTCCAACAGGGAATGTCACACTGAGTCCAGTTATATTACTTTCAAGGCTCATTAAAGAGGTTAGTAGACAGCATTAAGTCGTTTCCTTCCCAGAAACACGGTACAGCATGGAGGGGGACAAAACAGCCTGGGGACTGGCACAACTCATCACATGGGGTACTGCCCAGCAATAAACAGGGGCTCCTGAAATCACTAATGAGAGAGCCCACTGCAGTGGTTTATTCCTCCGTTCAAGCCAGTTCAGTGGAGGATTTCTTTGCTCAGTGCGTATTTTGCAGGATTTTGCCCAGACTAACCTTAAGTGAATCACAGAACCAGGATTTCTACCTATTTTCCTGGGGACTAGTTTATGTTCTCGTAGGCCTTCCAAATTTGGCTTTTCCTTGTGATATTTAAGCTATGTTTTTGTTCTTAAAAAGTACCCTTTGGAGGAAGAGAAAATGTTCTTAAACAGGAAGGACTTTCAAAGTGTTGATAAAGTGAGGAGAAGGGTCAGCTTAACTGACATAAAACCCTCAAGATGAAAGTGAGCTGTACTAATGTGGGATATTACTATCTCAGATGATAACCAGGGAGAATAATTTCTCGCTGTATTCACATGGCAAACCTGAGAGACTTGGCAGGTGTGATAAAGCTGAGGGCTTCCATTAGGGGTGTTAACAAGGCTCTTCAAGCGACTGTCAGCCATAGAACAAAGGAAGTCACTGATGACTGACAGTTTTCATACCGCTTTGTGATTTATTATGGAGCTGATGAAATGCCAGACTTTCTAAAGTCAGGTAGTCAGAGCTGATACAGAAAGGTTACACAGATGCTCCGGGGTGGAGTCACATGTTTTTCTTTAGAGGGAAAAAAAAACCCAAAACAAACAAAAAACCCAAACAACTTCCTTTGTTTCTAATAGCGCTTCAGATGATTAAAAGTAAACTATAAATGTAATTTACTTGTCAGCACACAATCTGATAGTTATTTTACTTGTTGTATTTAGTTCCTTGTTCTTAGTCAAAGGAAATGAGTGAGGTACTTTGTGCTAATAGTCTCCAAACAGTCTCATTTTCTAGACCTCTTCTATACAAGCAGGACACTGCAGTAGCTGTACTATAGACCCTACAATCAGTATTCCTTGAAATTAAACTATTCCCATTAAAATAAAAATCATTACAATTATCTCCTGATATATTTCATAAAAGACTATATTTAGTGATTCATTTTCCATGAATCTTAACAGGCCAGGCTACACGTTTTTTCTCTCTTTCAGACTTTCAGCTTTAGCTCCTTCATACTGAAAGGGAAGTAGACAACTGGCTCCTATACCATATATTTCCTATAAAACAGCATGGTAGTGCTAATGAACCCATCTCCCTTAATAGTGCCTTTGGTGACATTGGGAAAGATGCCTCTGACCCAAGAGGCATAGAATAGATAAATTAAATACCAAAGTATAGATCTAAGGGCTTGGTTGCTGCGTGGTGACATACTGATGCTTTTTGAAGATATAAGAGATCTGGGTTAGTACATAGATCTCGAATTCATGCACAGCTTCAACACTTAATATGAATTGGGACCCTTGTGAATACAAATGTTAGGAAGGCTTTGTTTGGCCCTGGGAGGAAAAAAAAACCCTCAGGATCAGCACCAGGGCAACTGTCTCTCTCTTCCTTCTCCTCCCACCCCCTTTGCTTGAAAATAGTTTAAGCCAAGGAGCAGCCCTAAGCGCGTTCAGACGGGACTGAAACAGGTGCTCTGGGAAGCTGCAAGATCCACGATAACGCTGCTGATGCAAGTGTCGTCCATCGTGGGAAGAGTGGCAGCTGGTGCAGGATATGCGCAGGGCTTTTCCTCCAGCAGTCAGTCTGTCGCCCGCCAGCGCCGCGCCGTCGCTCTGCCGGTCTGGCAGTCACCAGCCGCAGCCAGCGATGTGACGCGCTTTCTTCTGAGTCAGAATGGTCACAGCTCTGTTCCACCCGAGTGGGATATCTGGCAGATGTTTTCTGTACTGAGTGGCAAAAAATCTGAAGTTTCTGTGTATTTTTAATGATAGGTCAAGCCTTTCTCTAGACTTAATGCTTCTCCCTGTCAGAGTCATCCTGACCACCTCAGCAGCTAAGGGTGATCTTGAGAACAGTATTGGGTCATAAGGTTGGGGAGCAAAAGCGGATGGATACATCAGAAAAGAGAGCCAGAGAGGGGAGCTTTGCAAGCCGAGCACAAAGAGGCTGTAGCTACATACCGCCACCTAAGGTATGCAGGCTCCGTTGGTGAAAGGGCCAGAACAGGGGCACAGCGGAAATGTGGGGGTGGGACAGCTGTTTTCTCAAGAAACTCAGCAGATTCCAGCCAACAGGAAGGAACATGCTCTAACAAACTTTTCTGCTATGATGTCAGATCAGATGCTTGTGCCTTATTTTCCATGCCCCAGCACGGTTAAGTCACTTGCCACAGGCTATGGGGTAACGAGCAAATACCACATCTGGAAGGAGGGCTCAAGAATTTTGATCCCTCCCTGTGTTCAAACTGTTCAGCACTTTCTTTACCATATAGATCACTTTTGCTGCCATCCACGCTTTGCTACAAGTTCTCAGACAATTAATATTTACACATGCTCGTATGTGTTGTATCTTACAGACACAAGTCTGTCTGCTCTGTGCTGTCTGTTAGCTTCCCTTTGCTATGCTGGGCTAGGAGGACATAGCCACTCTTACACAGTGCCCCAGAAACACCAGCTAGAATGATAAGGAACATACGATGTATTATTTTATAATAAAATGCAAATTGATATTTCCTTCATTGTATTTTATCAATGTGCCGTCAACTTAATGATATCCATTGGTTCCTTTCAATTACAGCAGCTATCAGCATGTTCGTGATTATCAAGAGAATTTCTTTTCAGACAGGGAGTGTACTCACTGAATGACTTTAAAAAATGTCCTGCCTGATACAAATTACTCACAAAGCTCGTTAACATTTCAGTTCTTGTTTTGCCTAATAGCATGAAAAATAGAGGTGCGTCAGATGGAACCCTTTATGCGTTAGAAACGACAACATTTTGACTTCTAACATTTCAGATGTCCATGCATCTTACTGAAATTGTTGGGAAAGAACAAATTTTAAAAAACCATTTCCAGCATCTCTGTGCAACTGCCAGGAGCTGAGATACAGCATGGATATGTAATAAATAATGCCTAATGATAACAACATGCCACATTCAGAGATGTAATACAATAGATTGTGGTAATACTGATGATGTAACCCTAGTGCTTTGAAGTTCTCTCATTACTGATTCAAGGTGCTTTGCAAAGATGAGTTAGCCATCCCAGTGCTCTTGCAGAAGCTCCATTATTGCCCTCATGCTACAGGTAAGAAAACGGAGGAAGGGAAAAGCTAAGGCCATGTTGCATGTCACTGGTGAAGCCAGAGCACCAGACGTAGCAGGAGGGCTTGGGCATTGGTGAGCGAGCTCTGGCAAATAGCACTCTTACCAATGAAGTTGGAGTTAAGCTAAGGCGAAGCTGTCAAGACTCAGGTGTGTATCTTTTTCTACTAGCAGTGCTGTATAGGCAGTATGCTGTGGCAGGGGGATGGAGAGGATAGCTGGGCCAGCAACTCCTCAGACCGCTGCAGGGAGATTTGCAAGAGCAACATCCTAAGGCTAGGGAATTTAGACTGAGCCTTGCAATGTATTCAGTCTTGCAGACACTGTTATTCAAGCCCTTTACCCATAAGCTTTTCACACCCTTGGTTTAGGTGACACTGCTGTGGCGGAAGGAGGGCAGCTGCTTTTAACATCATAGTGGCAAAGGATCGCTGTCCCTGGCAGACCTTGCTTCTCTCGGGGAGCTAATTGCGTGGCCTTGGTGCAGCCCTGCTTTGCCGGCTGAGCTGCACTGTACTAGAAGTGCATGCTGAGGCACTCTTGGTTTAAAGGTGCTTTTGATGCTGAGGAGCTGGCGGGATCCCTTACCATCTGCCGCGTGCAGGAGGGGCCCTTGTTTGCACCTCCTCACGGGACCTGCCTCCTCCGCGCTGGCAGCTGGCAGCTTAGTCTGCCCACGCTGCTGCCAGGCGCTTGGCAGAAAACTTGCTCCTGCTGCTTGGCTTCCTCTGCACGCACCAGTGCGTAGAGCCCTCCATGCCTCTGCTGTATACGCTTTTGCTGCCTTTGTAGGAGCAACACAGCTACTTCACTAATTTCACCTTGGTTCCCCTTGTATCCTAACACCAGGCAGAAAAGATAACGCAGTTCCAGGATTGTAGTTACAAGCCTCGGAATCGTAATGACAAGTAAAATAAAGCTGTCACATGGTTATAGTCTGTTTAACGTGACAGCTTCCTGGTTCTTCTCATACTTCACCCAGAGCCCTTGTGCGATGTATCACAACGGGCAACAACGTGCATGTAATGGAGTAAAGTCTACTGCAGGCACTTAATATCCATTTGAATTATGTCTCCTTTTCCCCCCCCCCCCCCCCAGTTACACTAGACCTTTCTTTCTGTTCCTATCTAGTACAAATGTAGCATCGATAGCTCATGTGTTTATGCTTGCTATCTTTTGGGATCCTTCCCCTTCCATCCCCTTCCTGGGGAGAAAGCTTAATACACAACCTTAGAGCTTGCTAGAAGTCTGTGATGTTCAACCCAACAGCACTGTACAAACCATAAACGTTTTCTCTTGAGACTGTGGTCTCTGTGCCTTCCTACCCTTGCTAGAGATCTGGAGGGCATTGGATACGTTACTAATACTGCTGAGAGGGCTGGCTGGGTTGGGCTGTTCCTCGCTACCAATGCTCAGGCCGCCTGAATTGGCATTTGGGGTCCTCTGTCCTGAGAGGGAACACGAACAATTCGGCAGCATGCCTCGTGCAAAGCCATTCCCGAAAGAGAAGAACTTTAAAAACTGAAATGTGAAACTGCTTGGTTGGAGGAGTCAGTGTAGCACTATATGTAGCACTATAGCATACTTAATGAACATGGCGTGATGACTTAGAAAGATTTTGGATTTCGGTACTATTTTTTCATGTGGATAGACACACAATTAGGACATGATCTTTTTCACTGCGTTGCTGTTGGTGTAGTAATTTGCGCTTTGAAAAAGTATGGAACCAAATGATGGTAAAATAAAGCCCAACAACAAATGTGGAGTTTTAAGCATTGTACTCATTCTATAGTTGTTCAAATAAAACCCTAGGGACAGAAAAGAAGAAAATCAGGCCATTTCATGCTGTTACCTACCTAATTTAACTAATGTACAATCCAGCTTCAGAATAACCGGGTTTGGCAAAAAGAAAATAGATTAAAAAAGAGACTAACACCTTTATTAGAATATAAAGGTAATGAATTTAAATCATTACAAGTAGGTGAAGCTTCTGCAGATCATCAGATATCAAACACAATGTAATCACAAATATCACCTAGTATTAGCAGCACTTCCAGTCTTCCATTGTTCGGGAACATGGGAAGGACTTTATTTTGATTTAATTCATCCACAGCTTGAAAACTGATTTTCTAGCTTTCTGCCAGCAGAAGTCAGATCAGAATCAGGTTTAGTATGTTATTAGTCCAAGACATAAAGTTTTGATCTTAGGCTGTTTTCTTGGGGGAAGGGTGTCTTTTTTTCTATTATTACTTTCAGATAACGTCTTGTGTGCTTATTTGTTTGTCAAGGGTAAGTGATGACTCTGTGACTTTGTACTAAACTGCTAATAAAGGCAGCTGAAATAGGTATGGCATTCATATGCTCCTCACAGAGCCTCAAGTTTTGCTCTATCAACACTTTTCTTAAGTGCATTGCATTAAGGATTCTGTATGACAGGTTTCCACCTGGAGGCAAAGCCTGCTCCCTTCCTCCCCCTCTTTACTTGAAACCTGAAGTCTTTTCACATCAAGTATTTAATTTTCCTTTGTTCAGGATAAAATGATATGTAAAGCATGCGTTGCCATGGATGCAAAACTGAGAGCCTCTCCCTCCCTTATCCAGGTAGATTTCAACCAGGATATTTAACATCACACAGCACTACAGCATGGATGGGAAGATAGACACAACTGGAAAGGTGTGGGGAGAAGCAACCTCAAAACTGAAGTTCACACCATTTGGAAGTGGCTTGGTGAAAAAAAGTAAGTCTTGTGCCTCTGAGGGGGCTGCTGGACTTGTTCTAAAGGTGTGTGAGGGCGGCATCCCTTTGCCAGCCATTGATTTTCTTCTTCCCTTCTTTTGCTTTAGTCACTGGGTGTTTGGGCAGGCAAGTCTCAACGTGGAAAAGATGCTGCAGAAGGCCAGGAGCATCCCAGGAGTAGGGACAAAAGGCGACGATGCCCCTGCGTCACCTGCAGCCCTGCCTGGCAAAGAAGGTGTCGGGGAGCAGTGAGGCAGAGGAGAGGGCAGAGGCGGGGACGAAGGCAAGCCCTGTGCCGTGACAGTGCCATCCCACAGGGGCTGAGCCAGCACAGAGCCAGTGACTGAAACCTATGCTGATCCCAAAATCAAGGCAACATATATGGGGTAAAGTACATTTCGCCAACTCCGTTCCCAAAAGCAGAGTGCTATCTCTGTGCTGAGTGCAGTTCACCCCCAAACTCAAACCTGTAGCTGTGCTCCCAGCTAAAGGCAGTAGTCCTGCTGAGGGCAACAGCACTTCTTCTCAGTTTGCCTCCTCTTACCTCCTGCCCCTGCTTTCCTCTCAGATTTTCCAAAAGGCCATAGCTGTGGTATTTAAGCATCTCAGTCCACAGCTAAAAGCTTGGATCGTTCCCGTTTCCATCCAAGCCCACTCAGATTTGAGCCGTGGCCCAGGTAAGTCATTTTAACGTGTATTCCACAGATGCCGAATAAGGAGTAGCGGCATTTCAAATACTGCGCAAGGGTGGTGTGAAGATTAATGTTTGAGAGTGCCGTGGGAGTACCACGAACAGCCAAATGACCCAGCTGGGTCAAGCTATTCCTCCATCTAGGGCAAGAACATAGGAACAGGGTGAGCAGGCAGCAACTCGTGGCTCAGGGGCTTCCTGAGCCAGCACTTGTATCTCTGTGTTTTCCTCTCAGTAGCAGATGGGACCGCGTACTCAGTTCTCATGAGCGACGCACTGGGTAGTGTCGAGCTACCGGCGAGAGGCAATCATCTCGTAGGAACGCTTTATGGCTCCAGAGGGGGGGGACAGCTAGGGCATGGGTAATAAATACACATGTTTCAGAAGTGTTTTACAGTGTTCCCCTAACTTAATTCCAACCTTATATTTTATACGCATTATATTTTCCGTGGCTTCATATCCTTTCATTTCAGCAGTAGCGTACTTATATAAGAACATCAATTTGCTGTCGTAATTACATTGGACTGTGGCCTCCGCAGAACTGCACTAAAATTGTTTCATTTAATTTTGTCTAAAGAGTGTAGCATTGCCTCCACAGACTTGCACCAAAATTGGCTCATTTTGCTTCAGATTATCTTTTCCCTGCAGGATTGCATTATTATGGCCCGCACTTGCTCCTTGCTGCTGAAAGCACAAACTTTACGCCAGCTCAGGTCATGAGTTAAAACACCTTCTTTCTTTTGGCGCGGAGAGCTCTGCTCGCTGCCCTCTCTGTGCTTAAATACAGGGCACCTTAGCAGGATTTGATCGACAGTTCACGGGGTTTAGCAGATGGGACTGTTGTATCTGCTCCAGAGAAACTTGGAATCGAGCAAGCACGAAGCCTAAATTAGCTCCTCACTCAAAAGAGCCTGATACCTCTGTTCCTGGGGGGAGAAAACGTGAGGAGGGTCTGCAGAAGCAGCGGCCGTCGCTTTCCTTGTTTCGGACGATAACGCCATTCTCTCCCAGAGCCGTCAGTCCCTCCTCACTCATATGAGCTACTGTAGCAGAAAGATGCATTTTTTCTGTAATTGAATTGGGCTTTAATAAAGCTATTGTGTTTGATCGCTGGCTTAGGAAACAATAATTTAGCATAATAGGAAAAGATCATTAATGTGCAATGAACCTAACGCTCTGCTCCAGTTTTTGTTGCCCTGGAGAGATGGAGTGAGTTGTTTTCCCTCAGTTGAAGGCAGAGCGGGGCACGCTTCATTTTTCATCCCCAGCACTTTTTCCAGCAGTGCCTGCGAGGCTGGCGAAGGCGCGCAGAGACGCGGCCTTGCCCCG